TGTGGCGTTGGTATTCCGTGCATCGCGCCGCTCATCACCTGTGGCTCAATCTATGCATTCCGTTGTCACTTTGAAATGATTTATACCATTCATTTAAAATTAATTTTAAATTTTTTTAAATATTTTGTTTATTAATATAAAAAATTATAAAAAGAAATTTAATATTAAATCTGAACTATTTAAAATATATCTAAATGATCAATTTATAAAATTTTATATTTAATTGAGTTATCCAAAATATATCTAAACTATCCAAATACATCAAAATAATCAAATTATAAATTATAATTTTTTTTATTTGACCATCCAGATCAAATCTATACTGACCAGGTTAATAATGAACATATTTATTAATTTTTTTTTACATTTTTATAAGTTTTTTATTCTAATAAATGTCGAACAAAAAAAAAAATTTTTAAATTTAGATAATCCAAGTCTCATCTGATAAACACTGAAGACAATCCAGATTTAATATTTAAATTTATTATAATTTTCTATTAATAAACATAATATTTAAAAATACTTGAAATTTAATTTAAATGAATGAAAGAAATCATTTCAAAAGTGAAATAAAAAGCTCCAATTGAGCCCCCATGATGAGTACGCGGTGCACCAAATACGGACGAGTTAATGTGGATGCACTAGGTATGGGCTTTACGATGAAAATTGGCAACCAAACGGCTAGCCGGTGAGAATTGTATCCGGATTAAATATAAACCCTCTACATGTAATTGAACCAAACGGTCAAAAAATGCTTAATATTTTCACATCCCTGCTTCAAAACTTTTCGTTCACACCTCAGCGATAGCCTACATTATTTGTCTCGTTGGCTAGAACTTAGCTATGCTGTGTTCATCAACTGATTTTTTATCACAGATGGAAAGCTGAGGTTACTAATAAATTTACAAAGATCCTGGCGTAAAATAAGAGTTACATGCAATTGTAAATTGTGTGCAAATGAAATTGTGCAAGTAGTATATATCTTGTCACGTGGATAAACTACGAGCAGTTAATTTAAACAGTACGGTACACGAAATGTTTGTCCACCTCAACTTCAACTTCAGGCTCAAATCCACAAGTACAAATTTTAGCTTCAAATCTTTCTGTCTTGAAATGAGATTTAAAATGGGAAAGAATCAGTTATACCAGTTAAAAGTCAAGCCTTCTTGTTGCTCTGCTTTGTTTGCTGTTGCTCCTGTTCAGCCAGGGAAACTTCTTCACTCTCTGTTGAGGCAGGGAAAGAAAAACACAACTTAACATAAAAAGAAAGCACAAGTGGCAAACGTATTTAAAAAACTTGCGCACGTGAATGCAGAAAAAGGTTGTATTAAGTTGAAAGACATAATCAAGGCTATAAAGAATTAAATTTAAAGTTCATTTATATTATTGTTAAAGAAAAGTTCATGTTTCTGTTGCATCAAGAGAGGATAACTTGATTGAATAAAGAGCTATTCACACCATGGTACAGATTCATTGCTTTGAGCTACTAACATTGCAGCCACTAATCATACCATAGAGGGCCCAGCTTTTAATTCTGATCTAGAATTTCGTGTTCTAAACTTCCATTCACAAATATTTTCCAACTCAAAATCATCTTCTAAGGTTCTCTAAATGAAGGATAAATATAAGCTATAAATTTTACAAGAAGTCTATGTCCACTGCTCATAGAAAAAATGCAATAGCTTTGTAAAAGAAGTAAGTTTTCTCACTGAACTAAAACAGGGAATTTTATTCTTTCATTAGACTTGAGGGAAAATTCTTGGTAAGAAAAACTAAATTACAGAGGTTAGTAAAACACCGAGATATTTAGTTTAAAAAACATAGAGAAATAAAAAGTATCCAAATAAAAATAAAAGTCTTGTATAGCACATGTATAATCTGAACATTCAATGAAGGAAATAGTAAATATATTATAAGATGAGATGTGATTATAAGGCTTTAATGAAAGAAGTAGACAATAAAGGAAATAACTGAGAGCATGCAAACCCACTCTTGTCCAAAGCATGTTAGGCAATGTTTGGTATCTTGAGTCCATTACGATCAGATTTTACAATGTAGAAATGAGGAACTATCTATTTCTTTTTAACCTTTCTTACAACTTGATTCACTTTCATACATGGAGAACGATCTCTCACAGAAACAAATGAAATATTAAGAGAAAATGAAAATATAGAATCATTGGTTGTAGTTCAGTAATTCATATGGTAATATTGAATTGATTTGCATACACAACTCATGAAGTGCTTGAAATTATGTTAAAGATTTCTAGTTCAAGAACAAAAGGAAGGCTGACAAATTAACTAGTGAACTTAGCTACACAGCAAAATATTACAGAGATGCTTATGATTATATCAAACGACCAAGTAGTTTTCTGAGGTGTAAACCAGCCTTTTTTTCCTTGCAAATTATTTGATATTATAGCATATGAAGTCTAGTGAGAAGATATTTAAAACTATTCCATGGTTCAACAATCACCTAAACAGTTTTTGAACAGGATATCAACGAATAGGATGAGAAGGAACTTTGTGACTGCATTAATTGGCAGGTAAAAACACATTTAAGACTATATTAAGGAAAATACACAAAAGAAGAGCCCATTTAACCGACAGAAATAATATATATATATAATATATATATATATAGCACTTGAGTAACTAGGATTGGCTCCAGCAACAACTAGTGCAGGGTAGACATTGACAGAGCACTATTATAACAATGATGCAGTCCCATACAAGTCAATTCTCGCATAGAAACCTAAAATACAATGCAGAGAAGGCTAGCAGCAAGCTTACGGCACACGACGAGATTAAGATAGCAATTCATCATTGATAATGCTCAAGAAAAATGAGAAATTCCCAAATGCTTAATACATTAAACAGGCCTTATATCTTTTCGATTCAAGAAAAGCTAGTATTCAGTAACAACTAAGAATATCTGAGACTGATAGAATGGCTATGGAATTGAGGGACAGGAATTAACAAAAAGAGTATAAATATGAGGAAAAACCGCAAGCGCAGAGAAATGAGTAAAACAAGTGATTGTGCATGTACCTTGGCGAGTACGCATTCTCGTAAAGAATGCAAAAGACGGAGGCATTTGTCTTGATCAAAAGGAGATTGAGCAACGCAGTTCAGGAGATCTAGGGCTTCCTGAGCACACACGGGCTTATCTTGAGCTTCATCCATAGTATGCGGGATTTAGTTAGGGTTTTGGGATTCAGAATTTTGGGGTAAAAATCTTCAACTTCGCTGACACACAGATCTTTGGTTCGTCGTCTCTTTGCTTACTATGTTATTCTCGTGGGCTCCGATGGTTTCTCTCAAACAGGAGGCAGCCAAGGGATTCGTATTCTATTTCCCCTAACTTCGTTCCCAAGTTTTGATACGCCACTTTCCGCGCCAAATTACTTGTGAACGTGAAACCAAACTAATAAATCAAAATGTTTATAATTATGTATTCATATTTTCAGACCAAAAAATTGCAAAAAGAATTTTCTTTTTTTTTTAATCAAAATTCATCTCATACAAGTTTTAATATATGTACTCAAAAAAAAAAAGTTTGAAGCGTGGATATTATCTTAGATATTCATGGAGCCAGAAATCTCTATTAGGTGGCCGAAAGACAAAGTAGGTATGATAATAAAAAAAAGTTATATATATCACTAACATAATATAAATATTTTAACAAAAATATTTATATTTAATTTTATAAATATATAGTAAAAATAAATATGCACATTTATTTTTTAAGTTTTGCTTATCAATTTTTCATGATATAAAGATTACAATTATCATGTTTATAATAATTTTTTTGACAATTTTCTTCTCAATATAAACTATCATTAAATTAATAAAAAATTTATGAATAAATTAGCCTATTAGCCCAAAAAATTCTTGTGCCCAAAAAATATAAACCAAATTTTTAAAATTTTGAAAGTATGGTCAGCTTATATTGATATATAAGAGGTTTATTATTGATATACAATAGGTTTATTATTGAAAACTTGAAAATTTACAACGGATTTAAATTTATCATTGATTTACATCAATAAATCATTGGCAAATATAATGAACCGGCCAGAATATAAAATATAATAAATGTTAGGTTATTTGCTTGGTTTGGTCTTATAACATGAGCTATACTTGCAAAAGCTCCAAATTTTATCTTCTTTACAAGCATTGAAAGATTTAAATGCATCATTGGAATCTAAAGTTCTGCTCAATTTAAGAAACTCTATTCTTACTTTTTACTATTTAATTCTTTCAATTAATAACCATAATAAATAAATATAGGAAAAATCACAATGAAGGACCTCTAAAGACATTTATTTATTGAAAAAGACCAAAAGATTTCGAATCTATAACATCCCAAATTTCTGATCTTGCGTTAATGATTGATTATGGAATGAATTGGTTATCTAATGTGGGATTAGAGCTCTGGATAGTAAAGTGTTATTTTGACTTATTGGGATATTGTATGAACAGATATGAGTGAAAGAGTGGAATTCAGAGCAAAGTATGTGAGCATAGCGAGGATTTTTCTCATTGTGCCATGTGTCACGGCGGAGGATAGATGCACCGCGGTACATGGTGCAGAACTTTGATAAGTTGGAATGTGTCTAGCTCGTGAAACAGAAGAGAGAAAAAAGAGTAAGAGGGTCTAGCATGGAGAAGTGTCTAAGCCGTGATAGGGCAAGTGATTTTGGGAGCAAGGATAACATTTTCGACTTATTACTTATCAGGTAAGTCTCATATTACCTTAACCTCCAATTTTACCATGTTTTCTCTTAGTTTTAACTAGTGAGAAATTGAATTTGAGATTTTTAAGGAGTTGATTTCTTACCCTATAGTAATAGAAAGGTCTTTCGGAACTAAACTAATACTTTGTGACTAGTTTGAGTTGGTACGATAAAGCTTTAAAGCTGTAGGCACAAATTGCCCCAATCTAGAGAGAGTAGTGAGAGAAAGTTAGCTAGTTGAAGGTAAAATCTTGTAGTGAGGGGTAATCAGTGGTAATGTGTGTAATCAAGTGTGAATTGTGGAAATGATAGTGATTAAGTATTTAATTGCAATAATTGGCACTTTTTGTCAATAGTAAACTTGACTTTGAATGCCAATTTTGTATAGATTTTAGTGTGTGATACATAAGCAAGCAGAAAGAGATTTGAATAAGGAAATTACACGGGTAAACCTTTTTATCGGATAGAAAGGTTGAGGTAACCATATAGTATATTGTGTTTATTAACTATTATAACTGTGTAGAAGTAAATACAAAATGAGAAATTTGGTGTTATGAATTTTATTCATGAATTGATATTGAAAATGGTTTTAGCATGAATATTTATTTGTGAAATGAAATTTGAAAGGTTATTGATTGCAATTGATATATATATATATATTATGTTATGAAATTATATGTTATGGAAATGCGAAAGAGCAGTGAAAACTATGAAAAGAGCATGATCATAGGGGAAGGGAGTTGACCTAGCATATTTGGAGATGTGTGTGTGTGGAAAAGTGAGTGAAAAATTCATATGGTTGGGCTGGTACTATGGGATATCTAGTGCAATGTTATATGGGCTGTTACTATGAGTAATCTGATACAGCATACTATAGGACTATTACCATGGGACATCCAAGCAGTCTGACAACTCCTTAGTGCCTGTTAGGGTACGATTAGGAGTAAACAATGCCTCTACCACAAGTATGTGGAGAGGGAAACTGTAACATCTTAAATTTCTAATCCTGTGTTAATGATTGATTAGGGATGAATTGATGATTTAATGTAAGGATTTGAGTTCTGAGTAGTGAAGTGATATATTAACTCATTCGGATATTATATGAATAGATATGAATAGAAGAGTAGGGTCTTGAAGTAGAGCATGTGAGCGTAGTGAGGATTTTCCTCACTGTGCCACGCACCGCGGCGAGTGGCAGATGTGCCACAGTGCATGAAACAGAAATCAGATTAATAGGGATGTGTCTAGCTCAAAAAATAGAAGGGAGAAATGTGGGAGGAGAGGTCTAGTGTGGAGAAAAGCTAAGGCTGTGTTAGGGCAAGCTAAATTAGGAGCAAGGACGGTGTTTTTAACTCGTTACTTATCGGGTAAATCACATACTGCCTTAACCTCCGAATCTACCCTATTTTCTCTTAGTCTTAATTATGTGTGCATATGAAATTGGTGGAGATTATAAGGAGTGATTAGCCATATATGAGACTAGAAAAGTAAAAATGTGATTTTAGCCCTAAGTGTGAAATGGGCAGATTATAGGCTAAAATTGTGTATGTGTATTATAATATGCATGTATATGGTTAACTAGGTGTATTTTGTCTATTTGGATTTGGTCAAGGCTCAAAAAGTGGCTAATGACAATCGGTTTCAAATTAAGACACTTAAGTGACAAAATTTTGACAGAAAATGGTCAAAGTACACTTTAGTGTCTAATTTTTGATAGAAATATTGGATTGGATGAAACTAGTATATTAGTTAGATAACTAAATTCTTACAACTTTGGGTGATTTATTCCATTAGATAACTTTTAATTAGACTAAGACCATTCCTTGGAAGATGACCTAGGGTTAGCTTTAGTTTAATTTTAAGGGTAAGCGACTAATTTCTATCAAATTTTTGGCACCATTGCTAGGGAATGTGTTTAAGTTTAATTCAGGGTTGTTTAGTGCTTAGTTTACATTTTTAGTGTTTTGGAAATTTTGAGAAAAATCATAAAAATTTGTATTTTGTGTTTTTTAGTGTTTTTTAGTGTTTTGAGTGTTTTTGTTCTATTTTAGCAAAAGAAAAAAATTTAATGCAATTTTTATTTGAAAGCTCTATATCTTATCTTCATTTTAAAAAGGTTTGGTCAAGTTTGGACATGAGAAATGTCTTGTGGAATTTTTATAAGGTAACAAGGTCCAGGGAGCCTTTTCAGAGGATTCCCAAAACCCTATTACAACTTTGAGTTAGCATATCTCCATCTTTGTGTGTCCAAATTGATTGATTTCAATGTCATTTTTCTTTCATTATCTTAGCTTTGTTTCATGTGTTTAGTATTTCCTTTAATTTTTCCATTTTCCTATCTGAAAGTTTGTTGGAAGCTCTAAAGGTCTTTAAGATGAAATCCTGTTTCTCTAGACTTGTAGAACAAATTGTGAAAAATTTTGGGAATGATTGGGAAGGATTTTTTATCTAAAATTTTTATATAATTTATTGTATATCTCTTATGTCTCTCATAAAAGTTTCAGGGAAATTGCTTATGTGGATTGGCTGTTAGAAAATTCACAGTTTCACTGTCTTCAGAGAGCCTACTATGTGAATTCTAGAATTGCCAAAGCTTCTTGATTGAGCATTTCTTACTCTCTTTCTACTTATTTAGTGTTGTCTTTAATTGTGTTTTTTCATTTTGTTGCTGTTGATTTTATTAGAAAAAGAAAAACAATATTTCTATTACTTTTGTTTTGTTTTGAATTGTTTCTTCTTGATTTGCATTTTAGTTTAGTTTGGTCTTTGTTCTTAATTTTCTTAAGCTTGACTAGTGCATGACCCGAAGAAAACATACCACTTTTGTTGAATTAGATCCAAAAATTGAAAGGACTATTTTTAGATTGAGAAGATCACAACCTATTCTTGATTATCATTTAGTTTGTAATTCAACAATGGAAGATATCTTAGGGCATGAGCATGTGCACATTGAGGGTTATAGGAATGGGAATGAGAATTTGCATGATGATGGGCATGTTAATAATGAATTTGAAGTCTTGCATAATCCTAGAGAGGAGAGGGGCATTAGACAATTAACTTAACCTAATTGGCATGATAATCCTTTTGGCTTGTATGTTCCTCCTACTAATGTTCATTTGAAATTAAACCCTCTTTGATTAATGCATTGCCTAAATTTCATGGGTCACCAGGAGTGGATTGCCATAGGTTTTTGCATACTCTCTACTTGGTTTGTGATACTATAAAGCCTATGCATGTCAATGTTAATGATGTTCAAGCTAAGACTTTCGTATTTTCTCTTAAAAGTTTAGCAAAGGAGTAGTATTTCAACTACCTTTCTTATGTGAAAGTGAGCACATGGACCAAGCTAAGAAGACTTTTTTTAGATAAATTCTCTCTAAATTCCAAGGTCACCAATTTTAAAAAGCAAATCTATAGGGTCCAACAAGGAGAGGATGAGAGTCTCTATGAGTATTGGACTAGATTCTAAGGTATTTTGGCTAAATACCCACACCATCAAATTTCTAGTGAGAATTTAGTCCAATATTTCTATGAGGGCTTGATTTCAAGAGACAAAGTTAACATTGATGCCGCTAGTGGTGGATGCTTGATTAACCTCATTTCCTTAAACACTTGGAAACTAATTGACAAGATGACCTC